TCGGTAACGAAAACGTGATCCACGGAGGCATTATTTCGAGTGGAAAAACTAACAGTGTTCTGAAGGGACATAAGTGTGTAAAACTTCACATTCAATCTATTGAAATCGCCAGTAACGAAAAATACAAAGGACACAGGTTTCTTTAACATGACTGTATAGAAAATATACAGGAAGGTAGACAAGGCCATTGAAGAAAAGATGATCAAAGACTGACGGAGGAGAAAACGTGGTTCACATTCCAGAGTAATACAAGAAATGTTTCGTGTACAGTGAGTTAATACGCATTCGTAGGTTTGGCTGGGGCCAAGGCAACTGAAGTGCAGCAACCATTTTCTTCTTTTGCACAGTGGTGGTTTCATGACTTTGATTGCCACAGCTTCTTCCGTTGCCAAGTGACGTTGCCGAACGTACTTTAAATGGTTTTGAGGCACTTTGTGAATTACCTTAAGTGCAGCGTTCTCTGTCTGGTGCTCGGTATCGGCGAAGTAGGCCACAGTTGTACTGGTTAATATTTTCTTGCAACCCGTGCTAAGCCAAGCCGGTTTATGTGAGATCTCTCTCATCGTTCATCCTACACAATCTGCCGAACATATGCAAGTGAAGGAATATGTAGTCATTGATGACGAGAGGTTGGATAGTGTATCCTTGAGGTTTGTGCAGAGCTGTGGCCGGCTTATAAACGTCGCACATAGAGTGGCGGCTGGATAGGTTCGTGCAATTGCTTTTTCTCAACTTCTTAGTGGCTTACCACTCGTATCTTCGTTAAACGGGGGATACAAGAATAGTTATTTCTTTTTGGCTATGATTGGTTTTGACAGTGTCGCCTTTTCTATGAAGTTCTTCTCGATGAACCGCTGTGGGTATCCATTATTCAGGGATGTAGATTTGAGGATTCTTAGTTCTTCCTCCACTAGATCCTTGGAGCAAATCATATCAAATCCGAAAAAGAATGCGTTTACAAAAATCAGGAGAAAGCTTTCAAAAGGATAACCAGACAATGTGAATATTTACTCCACTAAACTTTTCAGAATGATCAACGTAACTAAAAGAAAAGTTGTGGTGATGTATTAGGAGTCTGCTCAATCACGTATTTGGTGGGAGTGTTTCCTTCAGGGATTTTGATCTCCTAATTGTTTGATGACTAATGCTAAAATAAATAATTAAAGTAGCCAGCCATCGTTGTCTCCGTTCCCCCATCCTAATTCGGATGAGACAATATACTGTTTTCTTTAGCTTTAGACAACAATCAATCCGATTCGCGATTTTACATAATGGGTCCTTTAATCTCAACTTCGACGGAATCTTGGTCCAAGAATTGATAAGAAATAAGGACACGCTCAGGTAAATTGGATGTTTTGAACGGCTCATAGAGCAAAACTTCCAGAGGAAACTATTCAAACCGGTTTATGAAGCCCATATAATTTAACCCAGTAATGTCAATGAGGCAGTGTTGTCTCTAGACTGTTCATCGACTTTAGCATGTATCATGAGCACAGCATATCGCGCATCGACTTTTCAATATATTCATCATAGATTCTCTAAAAGAAGAAAATATTCCTTCATTTACTTCTCACGCAGAGATGCAATGTGTTAACCCCCTAAACATTTGGTGCACGCCACATAGCCAATCGGCAATGCGGTCCGATTGTGGTGAGTTTTTAAGTGTTCGCCCATAATTGAAATGGACGTAAAACATATGCCACTCATGGTGATCACTACCATGGGGACCCACTCACTGTAATGCAGTTTGAAAGTAATCGCATCTACCGCATGGAAAAGCAAATATCATCAGAAGAAGATGCATAGACTGCAGTGGGTTGGAACAGAGAGCGGGTGGGGAGTATACACATGGTGCATTAGTCTTAGTCGTTTTGAGGATGCATCATACTAGCACCGGATTGGCATTCAGAATAACGTATCAAACCCCTCCCCACCCGCCAACATTCTGCAAGATAGTAAGAAAACCACTAGCTACCAACGATTAGAAAGGCATTCACACTTTCACTCCCATATTGTGTAAAAGTAGATGGTTGATTCAATTTCTCTCTCGCCAAACCAACACCACGACCACTCTATCCAAAACGCATTTCATCAAAACCAACCAAATATAGAACCTTAGTCAGTGGACACATCTTCTGACTCAAGTTCGAATGATCTTTTGACTGAAAAGAGAGGGAAATAGAAATGTTGCTGAAAGACTATCCTTTGAGAATCTAGCATCGACAAAATCCTTTGCAGTTACAACAGAATGTAACATCAGTTTCCCCGAAAATCGTATCCATGTGTGATCCGTAAGGGCAGCATTATCAGTCAACAAAACCATTATTCCTTTTCAAATCTGCAAGTATCCAAAGAACAAAGTTAAAAAGTAGCCACAGTCTCTGGCTTTGAATGAAACAAGTGCATTTTGTAGAGAACATCTTAGTTGTGACTGTTTTGAAATATAAACCAAAGAAAAAAACAGTTTCTCGTTACACCAACGCAAAACTGAATATAGTGCAATGTTCTAGGAAGAACGCATCACACTGGTGACTGTTTTTTCCAATCCTGGTTTCATCCACCTCAATTCATTTAGGGAGGACACATTAACATTGGCTACCGAGGTGAACAAAATCAAATCTCGTCTGCTGCAACTTCGTAATCAAATGAAAACCATCTATGCTGAGCTCGTCGTGTGCGGTGCGGAACGCAACGACCTGAAGGAACAAGTCAATGTGAGTTACATTCAAATCTACACAATGCATGGTCATCTCAGACAATTATTTTTGTTTTTTTATACACCCGTTTCATCGCACACCGCTTGAATGGCACCGTGGCACTCAGAGTTACCCATCAAATTGCCCACTACAGGTGTTTTACACACAAAAAGAATTCATGTTAAAAATTAAGGATTTTGTGATGAAAAAACATACTGTATCTTTCGAGGCGCCACTAGTAAACCGCACAAATACTCCTAACGCGGAAAACACATTCGTGTCGGTTGGCAAATCGCTCTTGGTCGCTTTACTCCCAGCAGGATCACTGTAAAGTTGTGAGTAACAATGTCCGTTCTTTGTTTGGGAAGTTTCCGAATTTATCCTACCTGCTCCAGCGAAAGTAATTTCGCTCCTCATGTGTCTTGTGTCTACAAGAATCATGCCTCCAGGATGATGTAGAAAATTCCCGGGTCCAATCGGTTAATTTCGTCTGCTTTAGACAGGACAGACAACGGGGTAGGAAGAATTTGGGAGGCAGTGGCACTAGCTACATCATCATCATCAAAAGTCCGAAATACTTTTGAAGTACTCAAAAAATGATATTGATTGCTTGTCAGTTGATTGTCAACCTATTTTTTCCGCTTTTCTTTGATCGCCATCACCAGTTGCACCACATCGTAGGTCATCAGAAATTCACGCATTTTATAATTATCTCCTACCGGATATTGCCCTATCATATACTGACAGCTTGAGAAACTTAACAACACCCCTTTACCCTTTATTCTTCCCAATAACCAGTAAACCTATTATTGAACTAATGACAACAATCTCTCATCTGGAACAAAATCACAAATCACGATGACATATCTTCTATCAAGGATATTTCCGCCTCAGACAACAGTAATCAGAACCTGATCCTGGTCAGATCTAAGATTTACTCACATTCAAAATATTTTTTTTATTCGTATAATATTGCCATATAAAACGTAGAAAACGGTGTCTGCTAATAAATTTCTTTTTGATTTATCCGTATCTTTGTAGAGGGCCACATGTTAGTGCTCAGCAATGCGTTTTGATAAACGCCTAGTTGTATGTGCAGTGTACCGCACACTACAAATGAAAGTGAGAAGACATAAACCGAAGGATTTGGACCGATGAGACAACTTATCTTTCGTTTGTTAAAAGATTAAAGCTTTAGTGGTAGTGAGAATATACGGTTGAGGTGCAAGAACCGTTCTAGGGATCACTTTAGACAAACGTCCATCAAGAAGTTCCAAGTTATCGTTGCCCTTAAAGTGAACGGTAAGAAAACGCTGTTGCGAGGATCGGTCGGGCTTCTGATTGGGCTGATCATTAATCGCATATATTTATCAGTAATAACTTCTGGGTAATTATTTGACCAAAGCACGTCATGCAAAAAACGTATCTCGGACTGCAATGTATCAACCCTGCAAATCGCATGCGCTCGGTATGATAAAGACCTGATCAGGTTGTGTTTGTATTTCGGAAGGAAAAAGCTACAAAATTGCGTATACTGCCCAACCCCCGTTGTGTTTCGGACAACGCTTTGATTGATACTATCGTTTCGCTTTGTTAATAACACATCTAAGAAGGCTAGTTGACCGCTTTTCTCTAATTCACGGGTGAAACGAATATCCGCATGATAGTTACTAAACTGTTCAAGAAGCTGTGTGTGGCTGATGTGAAAATCACGAAAGATAAGGGTATCGTCGAGGTATCCGCATTATACGTCAAAAATGTCGAATTGTCTCTTTCAAACACGTATTTTCCAGTTTGGCTTGAAACATATGGGCTAATATAGGACCTAGTGAAGACTCAATGGCGACTCCGTCGATTAGTCCGTAGAACTAGTAATTGTACCAAACTGTATGTTAAATATGCATCTGAGAATTAGCTATTTCATTTTATTCACCGGAATTCAGAGGTGAATGTTGTTGGAAACCAATAATTTACATTTGTGATCAACTATCTCGATCAGTGGTACGTTTGTAAACAAGGATTCCACGTCTGAAGAAATCATATTTTTGCTGAGAAAATTGTGGTTTTATATCTTCTATATAAAGCTAAACGTATCCTTCAGTCCATGTTTGGCAATCCTTCGGGGTACTGGTTTGCGAAATTATAGGGTCGATTGGACGATAGTACGATAATTAGTATTTGACATACAAATTAGAGATATTATAGGTATTATATATGTAATCCATAGAGCCGCGGCGGTGAAGATCCACTCGGGACTAGCTTTTCGAAAACCGCTTGTGATATATTACCATGTATCTTGAGTTTTCTCAAGATGGACGTTAAAATTTGCTCTATTGCTCTATCATGTGTTTCTCATGTGGTCCAGCGGGAAACTCGGTGGAGTCGCTGAGGACGTTCACTAGTTTAGATGGGTAATCAGCTTTATCGAGTAAAACCCAGCTATCTCTTTTATCCGGTCGAAACATTACAATTTCATTTTTGAAGCGAGACATCTAATGGCTACGATGTGCTTCTTTGTCAAAATAGTTCTTACCTGAGTTTGTTTATCTTAAAACTGGTAACAATAGTGCACAAGAAATGTCTTGAGTTGATCAACTATAATGAGCATGGTTAGGTATTATGTCGCTGAGTTAGTGCATGAGCCTTTCAAACTGTATCTCTATCTCTATTTGGTGAAATTTCGGTTAAATGACAAAATGTGGGACCAATGGAGTAAACTTCAAACCGTAAACTATCAAGCTGGGCAGATGAAAAGTTGTGTAGGTACCTTTCCGGATTCCTCGAGGACCTCGACTGGGAACTGCTAGTCTTAAATCTGTATACCAGTTTGGCGTATTTTCGTTCAGTATATTTGGACGTTATGTCTATTGCGTACTGCTGGAAGAGAGATTGGTATTCCGCTGGTAGTTGGTCGGCGGATAACGAGAACTGGGTCTACAAACGGTTCATTTCAATTAACTCCTTCCACGCAGAATCCATCAGGTTCATTGCATGTCGTTTCATAGTTCTGGATGTCGGTAGAATATGACAACGTCGCTGATGCTTCCAATAGGGTTTTGGATAACGGTTCCGATTAGTACATTCCATGGTAAGTTGCATACCTGTCTGCGCTTCAGCAGACCCGACTTTGAACTTCGACAAATTGTTCAACTCCTGTATGGCCACAGACTGTCCTCAATGTTTCAATTCGCATAATATTCCCATAGATAATGCAGAAAGCGGTGTTCGCGAAGAAAGTTCTTTTCGATATAGCGTACAAGGCGGTTACATATATAAGGCGCTCATACTACAGGTATCTGATTCTCGGTCATCTCGTCAACAAACGGGATGCACTCTAAATTATTTAAACTATACCCAGAAGATATTCTAGGATAATAAGAAAGTGCCTTTTAACCACGGCCGAGACGATTGCAATTTGCATTTTCAACCCAGAGTTATGCAAAGAAGAGAAGCTGGTCCAGACATTATTGTTGCCCTGACCTTGACAGCGGACTGATTGTGCATAAAGCAGAGCAGTAAACCTCCTCCCAACAGGTTCACCCTTCATCCAGTACCATATACCGCAGTGTTAACAATTAATTATTTTTCTTCAATGTCCCTTCCTGATTACATCACTTGGTATGCATGAATTATAGTTTCTGGTGTATCTTACTTAACTTCATCCAACTCTTTCGTGTCAGCTCTCAGCTTTCATCATTTTTTTAATTTTCCCATCACTCTATCGTCTTTCATTTAACCTTTTCCTCTCATCCCTTGTACACTATTGTCACTAGAATCAAAACGAAGATTGAAATAACATGGTTGCATTCCTTTTATATAAGTCAGTTTTTTGGCACGAGGAACTGTAAATCTGTGTGGCGTGCAATCAAACTAATCTGCAAGCGGACGAAAATGTTTCCAGTTCTTCTACTGGGATTGAACAACTGAATACCGCACTTATTCATTATTCGCTTTACGTCTGCCCCTGTTGTACGGACTCAGGTCATCCTAACATCGCATCTTTTTTAAACCCATTACCTCTAGTTAAATGTGTGAACACATTCATTCTCTCAGGAGGTCGACCGCACCTGGTCCAGACAAATGGGATCCTACACGGTGCTGTGCTACTATCTCACACTTTTGCACGCAGATAATCTTTCATTTGAACTCCGAACTATTCCAGAGTTCTGGCGCCCAGTAATAATTATACCCATCCCCAAAGGAACGGTTAAGGCCCCACTTAGGAAATGTTTCAGGACAATTGCTCTCGGTTTCACTGGTTTGCAATTGACGGAGCAGTCAGTTATGCATTGCCTTCAGTTATCTCTGATTATTCCCGGTGAAATTTATTACTTTACGTACACGCAACCGCTCTACAATTGATGCCAGTTCTTCTCGAGTTTACCACATCTGTAATTCCCTAAAAGAGAAAGCCAAATATGTGCACTATGCATTTCTTGATTATTCTCCCACTATTGACTCGGTACCCCGTTCTATTTTACTAAACAAGCTCCAATCGTTTGCTTGTACCACTTCCTCTCTTGAGTGGCTTGGTGATTACTTTTAGAAACGATATTCGTATGTTGAATTGAGAAGAAGACAGTCAACGGCGTCGCGGATTAGTGCGGTTGTACTTCAAGGTGCTGCCTATATCAATGACATATCTATTACTCCCCCTGTACAACGTTTGGCTTATTCTGGAGATATCAATGTCTCTGTGTCTGTATCTAACCAATCAATACTGGCTACGTATAACACAAACTTACCCCACCTCGTTATGTATCTCGATTTTTCCGGTCTTAATCTTAATTCCGAAAAGCACTTTGAATGTATTTTTTACTTTAAACTGTTTTCCATCTCCCTCCGATAATGAACAGATTCAGAGAAAGGCAATGCGCAGGGTCAGCAAGGTGAAGTACTCAGGGGTCAGAAGTGAAAGTAACCTACGCTGGTCTTTACATGTTTAGAAGCTGAAAGTTCTCTCCTTTCGGATGGGAGGACTGTGCCACTTCTATTCTGATGTGTCAGTGATACGGGCTTTGATTCAACAATTTGTTCTTCCTATAGACCTTTATTGCTCCCCTATGACTTGCCCTTGTTTGTTTGAAGCTGATTTCAAGCTGCTGAGGCATGGCCTCTCAATGGCAATCAAACACAAAGTCTGGTAGTTGAAGTACAGTGGAAACTATCAGCTCACAAGTTCCTGAACGTCCGCTTACCGAAGCCTACAATTCTGTGACCTGGCCTCACCTGCATTTCTCAAGTTCCCTTAACTTACTTGATTGATAATATATGTAATGCTCATATTGATGCGTGCTTGAAGTTTAGTGATAATATTTGCTGCTGTCGGACCAACTTAAACTAACAGACTATCTCTCAAAACGACGACTGAATAAACATGGATTGATCATTCTGCGCAGCCCTGAGCTGGTTGGTACGGTGGTGACACCAACCCTTTCCATACTATGGATCCAGACCTCAAATCCCCGACGGGACTGTGAATATGCACCACGGATGAGCCGTAATAAGAAAGAAATTCGAGTCTGGTGGTTCCGACTGTATGGTAAATTGGAAGACCTGAGGAATGTGCACGAATGTGAAACCTGAGGGACGGTCAATCTATATTGTACCTGAATGCACCCACCATTTACACACTGACCTGTATGCATGGGAATTTTACCTTTCAATCCGTTCGCAATAAATACTCACCCCAACTAAGATGTCTGCCTACGGAAACTCTTTGATAGCCTATATTTCCCGAATACGGACTGACAACCAAAGTGCTCGTTCTGAGTTTTATGATACATTTGATAGTAAATACAAATTTGTACACGCTTGATACCCACTTTTACCTCATTTTTGCCAGTATTGCAACAGTGGTCTCTTTTAGGCTGAAAGCTTGTGTGTAACTCGCTAAAGCTTCGATAAAATGTAATACAATACAATTTGGTCCAACAGACCCATAATTATCATCCGATTGATAGTTAGAATAAACAAGTTGTCCAGTGTAAGCTACTTCCGTAGTCTAACGTCTCCCTAGTTGAAGAGTGTATGCTCAACGTGGTGATATATTTATATACATCTGAATTCCAAACAGATCACAGTAAAATTATCTTTGTAAAAGTGTTTCATGATTTGAAACATTCAGATCCGTTGATGAATTTGAACAGCAAAATCAGAAGACAAACACTGCGCGAGGAACTACGTTCGTATAATCTCATCGGTTGAGTACGCATAAAATTGAACAAGATTGACAAGTGAAGTGAATTAAGAAATCTAGTTAGGTTTTATCTTGTGTGTGATGCACATGATTGGTCACAGACACAGAAGACCAAGGGTAAAGGTCATACGCTTTTGGACACAACTGAGTTTGTTGTGAGCGATCGATAATGTCTCGAGTACCCTAAGTCGATTTTTGTAGATATGACGTAAAAAAATCGAGAACGAGTTCGCAAAACCTACCTTGTGACTTACCTTGTGGTTTTCAATGATGGCCGAAATCGGTCTACGTGATGCACTCAGCATCTGTTGTGTGGGCTGAGTCATTGATTCACGTACTTACTTAGGGAAACATTCGGCTATTCTGGTTCTCAGTGATCGGTCGTTTCTATCAATGTATGCTTCGTTGCAGCTGCAACGGAAGGTATAAATACAATGGGAGGTGGACTCGATTGGGTGACGATCTTTGAAGGGAAGGAGGAGGAGATGCCATGTGATCGGATAGAGACGCAATGCAAGAACATAGTGGTAGTGGGGTAAGGTGCGTTGTTGACTGGATATTCTTTTCATACACCCAATGGATAGGTGTTTGAGTCTGATATTTTGTTTGATAATGAAAGAGAACGAATTAATCCAGATAGTTATTCTCCTGTAATGCGCTACATATATCCACCTGCTTGTTTAATATTGTGTCCTCTGTAAACATTTTTCTCGCCCTACGGAATGACGTTCGAACCGGGGCTCTCTTGTGTTCTATTAGTGAGAAGTGTTGCAGAGAAAATAATATCCGGATCAAGTCTTCCTGCGGAAGATAAATCGTTGAATAGAACCGTCACTTCTACGGCTTATAAGGAAATCGAGGATTTCTAGCGAAATGTCCTTCTCTACTTCACAGTCGAGTTTCAATTTGCGGTCTGCTGTACTGCTGGATTCATTCAACAGTACAAGTATACCTACCTATCTACAGGTTGATTGAAGAAGATGAAAACATAATAAATGTATATTTTACATAACATTTTCGTTTGATTGTCTCATCCAACCGTGCTTCAATCATGCCCTGAAAATATCGGCCATGATAGGATCCAGTGGGCTATTCATTGCAACAACATCAATCTGTGGAAATGCTGTTCCTCGCAACAGAAAAAGACCGAAAGGAATTCCTCTCGCAGCGTTTGTTTTCTGACTTACCTGCTCAGTTTCAGGATTTGTTTGCAAGCGCGATAATGCCAGGTTGCCCAGGCCAAAGAGGGTGAACTTTTTTAAGGAATTCTCAACCGGAGACTTCGGCTAGTCAAATTTTGATCAAAAAAGCAGAGGGATAGTGTGCGAAAACCACAATCCATCGGGCGCCGATTTCCAGTTAATCGGCTCGTACACCCTTTGGAAGGGATCAAACATCCAAAATGCCCAATACACCTCGATGCCAAATCGAGCCAGTGACCAGTGCCACAACCACTAAGGTTTGGGTGCGTGTGATCCGCATACTTCATCTTGATTGGTTTGGAATCATGGTTTTTAGCCAACTCTTCTAGGTGAACTGTCAGTGGTTCACCGACTCGGTTATAACTCCAGATATTAGCTTTTCGTTCTCTCACTTCGATGTGAATAATTCTTCGCCCCGGGAGGGCAGCGAGTCTGGCTTCCTCAGCAGGAGATATTTAAGACACTTCGTGAGGTGAAGACATTTTGCGAAGTGCAAGGGAAGGATGGCCAGCAGCAACCCCATACACCCACTCCCGACCATACTAAGGCTTGAGGAGGCTAACATTGTTCTGTGAGTTTGGTAAACCAAACAAACAATGTACGTTCAATGTACTTCCGATTTTTGGATCACCTTTGTTTAAGAGTCCAATCCGCGTAAATCAATAGGGGCTTTCGGAATTTTTCACTCAAGGCAAATTGAGATCGGGAAATTCAAATATCGATAATTGTGCGAAAGATTGGTTTTCCACAGTTTTAAGCTAGTGTTATAATTCCACAAGGCAGTGCCGGGACGAGGAGAGATTTATTTGAATAACAGCATCCGGAAATAAATTTACACATAACGAAACATACAATTTGCAACACTTAATTAGTATTTTCGTGATCCGCTCTTCATCATGTAGGCAGCTCTACTGTCACCCTGTTCAATACCATGCCTATTGTGGTTCACCACTCCAAGTACGGGGGCTTAGGTTGCCGCGTTCCACCACTGAGCAGCAGATCCTCGTGACTATGGGGTTCGCCCCTTCCGCTGTTCATCAGACACTGGTGTGTAATAAAAAAATAAATAGCATCAGTGGTTACCAGCCTGATATTTGTTTGTTTCTTCAGTAGATTCACTCTGTAATTCACTCGCAGACACCGTGTGAATCCAACAACCACTTTTGGTACGAGCAAACTACTCACAAGTGAGTAATGCTTCTTCACACTAGTACGTCGGTTTATTGAAAAACAAGACGAACGTTTGGATGTATTAGTTGGTATCAACATTATAGAGATGCGACATGTGGAGGACGTAACTTCCATATAATTGGATTGCTCCGGAAAAAGGTTATATGGGAACGAGAAAAAAACAGTTCTATTGAGTGATGCACAATATAAGAGTCGCCGATAGCATTGCTGTCGTCTTATGCAAGAATAATTTGAATGATAATGTGCGAGTAATTGTCTTCAATTTTGTCCACACAAACAAACACAAAACCAGAATGTCGGATACTGTGTTTGCATAAATTCGGAGGTGGTTAGTGCGTATACATCATCACTTGATTCAGCTTTCGACAAATATGAGTGAGCTGTATTATCCATAATTGCAAACCCATTAGGATAAATGAGTCGCATTTTCAGAAATGTTACACACACATGAGATTACATGCTTCTTATCGTACTTTCACCGACCTTGGACATCAATCTGGCTTGCGCCATTTACTTTTCGCGGTGTTTACTTTACCCTTTTTCCGTTTTGACGTGAAGTCAATTCATTTGCAAAAGCCCCCCCTCCGCGCAAGTGTTCGCGAATCAGGCAAACTTTACTCTACCCGCACAAATGCATGACCTGACAATTCACCGTCAGTCTTGTCCTGAAACAAACTTCATCAACCGTGAGCTGAGACAGGAATGAGCGGGAGAAGAGAGGATTGCGAGTGGATAGAACAAATCAATTGATAAGACTCGGAAACGGAACGGTATTTTTCTATTTGCACTTTCTCATATCCCCTAGTCCTTGACGAGACAGTAAACTAACACATGCGCACATGGTAAAATATTCCAGTTTAAATATACGAAAGGAATAGAGGAATAAAATAATTCGAAATTTCCATTTGGTCTGATGCGAGAAAAAAATTGTAAGTTTCAGTGAAACGGCGATGGAAGAGTTTTGAAAGGATTTTCAGGGTAGTTACGCTTGCATCGTAACCAAATAATTCAGTCAAGTGATCTTATTTATTTTGATATGGTCTTGAATGCTACGACGATCTTCGAACTGTTTTGTCCCCATTTCAATCGCAGAAAAGAAAAGACTTTTCTTCCTGGAAAAATTTGAAGACAGTGATTATTGAAGTGAACTGAGAGGATTAGAATAAGTAATTAAAATAAACATTAATAAAACCTTGAGAATAGATCAGTTTTGCTATTTTGGATTAAAATTGATACAACATCCCTTGATATTAACCTTGTGAGTATCGCGGAAGACAGTTTTGGACTGTTTCTTAAAAATATGAAGTTACTATTACAGCACAAAAGAAGAAAATAAAAATCATTTTTTTCCCCAGCAATTACCTGTCAATAACCAACATCTGGGGCCATAGTCGAACCGGTTATCTACCGATATTCGACCAGCCGTGTAGCCCTGGTTACTGACTTGATCTAGCTCAATGTGGATCGATGTTAGACCCCGTTCAAAGGGCTCATGATCCGGTGAACTGGACACCGGCCTCAATAAACCGCGCTCTTCACAGACCATCCCACTGTCCTGCGCGTCAGCTTTTGAAGAGCCGAAGTCGTCAACTGTGTTTCCCCCAAGAAAATCCACCTGCTTTTGCCTAGTCCATCCCGGAGTACTTCGGCCACGAGCAAATAACGAACCTGTTCGGTTGTCCTGAAGACTTTTGCAAAATAATTGTTATGAAAATTTGGACTCCGGAACGTGTGAAGTATCAATGTACAAATGATCGGAATCAGTTATACTGTATTTTATTCATGCCGGTTCCCGACTCACTTATCATTAAATGGGCTTCCTCGGCAAGGTGATGTTTACCGAGACGGACTGTAGTCGTGAGAAAGCCAAGGGTATTAAGACCCCAACGTGAATTCTGTAGAGGTGTGTATTTCAACCGATGAACTCGGTCACATGAGTCGAGTTTGACCTTCGGTTTGGTGTACCCAGGACTAAAATAGTCCTTGGTTATCTG